TGCCATTGCGCGTCCACATCAGACACAACCGTTCTATTTCTTTTAAATGTAAGCCTTGCCGGTTTATATAAAGTGTAAGCCTCTTGATCAGCAAGCCAAGCGGCAACCTGCTTTCTGCTTAAAGTTTTACGGTGTCTTTTAGTGGCCTAAAATAAGGGTGTTACACCCCCAAAACTCCCAACTTCTCCGGGAGAGTAATACATTTTCTTTAGCAACCTCACCATGTCTAACCCATCTTGCTTTAAAACAAACGTATACACAAGAGCCCGTTTTTGCTTTTGTTTTTATTTAATACACAAGCGTCTATACACATCTTACTTTTTTAAAAAAAAAGACAAGCTTTTAATGCCGCAGCAAAGTAATATATGGTACAACTATACACATTTATTTAATGCATAAGCAGAGTAATATAGAGAACGGTTATACAAACTTTTTTAAAATTTATTTTACAATACATCTTAATCAATATTTTTTTTTGAGCCTTTAGGGTCAGAAGCTGGCATGTAAGAAGTTTTATAATCCATTTTATGAACCCTGCTACACACAGATCGGCCAATGTTGGCTGCCACCTCCTTTGACAGGTCTACCAGCAAGGCCACCGGGTCAGATGTCTCTGCAACCTCCCTAATCATTTTTACAACTTCGGTTATAGTTTCAGTGGTTATGTTAAGCTTTTTCAGTTTGTAGCCTTCGGCTATAATTATATTTATAAGCTGGGCCACATTCAGTTTAGAAGAAATACGTCTAATCTGATGAAATACTTCTGAGCGACCCCAAAAGATACAAGGGTGACTAAAAGGGTTGGGCTCATTTACCGCACAGGTCTGCACAGTTTTCCAAAAGTTGTTTTTTCAAACAGTGGTAAATGGCTTTTACTACAACGGCCCTAATAATATCGGCCATAACATCATCTTCGCAGCTCTTCTGGTCGCCCTCCTTATTTTTACAGACTTTTTTTTTTAAATCTTGCTTCACGCAAAAACAACAGGTGCATATCACGGTTATTCTGCTTAAAGGCCGCCTCTCTTTATCCTCTTCATCCTCTGAAGATGTCTGTCAAAAACAAAGTAAAAATATGTTTTAAATTCTTTGTTGCAAACCTTTAAAAATAAAAAAGCCCTACAGTTTATTCGTGCTACCTCAATCGTACCCTCGTCTGATTCTGAATCATCATCATCATCATCCCCGACTGATGCACCGTTGGGCCTTGTGGCACCTTCCTGTTATTAAACACAAACATATAGCCTTGTTTAACCTCCCCTTATATATGTTTATATTTATATTTCTTTTAAAATTTTCTAAGTAACTTTTACCTCATCATGTTCTTTTGGTTCTACAGTTGACAACCGCTC